GAGTGGAAAATTATCTTGCATATTTTTGACATTTAGAATATTTTCATAAATATTGTTTATTCTTATTACGAGTAATTTTAGTGTACTGTATTCATATAAACACTTGAACACCCAGTAGTACACCTAAACTGACACATTATGAAAGCCTGAGATAAGACTTCTGAAATTTAAATCATAGTGTGGATATCTGAAAGAGTAATCATATCAAGTTAAATATATCGACTAATAACACTGAGTGCTGCTTGTTGTTTTTCTAAAATATTTTAAAACGTATTCATACAACAATTTGTATTACATATGTGTACTGCACATGAGAAAAAATGCATTATTCACAAGAAAGTTTCAATCACTTTTTATTCTTTTATCTTTTCTCATGTACTTTAATGTGGGTTATATTAGTTCATTCTGCTTTGTTTTTTTCCCCACTCATATACTGTGACCTGACAAAAATATTCAGTTCTATTTCCTCTAAAGAAGATGAGGATGAAATAGACAATTACTCACACATCAGTAAAAGTGTGCACGCAATATGTTAATTTAGAAATAAAAAGGCCTGGGTTGGGCTTGTGGACTTTCCTTGCTATTAAGGATTTCAAATATAAGTGACCAGTTCTACTGTCATAAAATATGACTATAATAAATTATAACATGTGATTAAGAAACAAAGCAGCAGTAATAACAACAAAAATCCCCAAATGATATGTTATGTTTTAATAAAAATAAATATTTACAATATTTAAACTTTCAAACTTTTTTAAAATCCAAAGTACTTTATATGATATATTGTTTTGTAGTTAACCAGGAAAGTGATTAATAATGCCACCTTTGTTGTCACAGATATCAAATAACTATCTTCAACCAATTAAACTACATTTATGAAAAATTGAACATTTTCAAATCAAAGAAAAGTGTTGCAAATTAAATAATTTAAAAAGCTTTCATCTAAAGGGCATGTCAGAATGATTATTAATTTCTGAAACTAATTTCCATGCTACAATTCTTGAGGAGTATAAATTATAAACTTTATTTTTAGAAAGATTCAATTTCTACATAGCCCAGACTGTCTTAAGAGACAGAAGGATAATCCTTCTATCTAAGGATAATTTATCCTTATCTATAATCCTTATCTATAATCTATCCTTAGATAGAAGGATAATAATTTAAAATCTTATCATTATCTACTTATTGCACACAACATTGAATTTAAAAATTATTTTTAAGGGTAGCATGAAATTTAACTACATTCACTCCCTAAAATATTCTTCTGCCTTTCTCCTTTCCTAATGTGTCCTTCTCCTTTTATATAATGTAGACATGTCAGATTTTTCTTTTGTCTCGATATCCCTGATAATTGGGTTTACACGCATACTCTGGTATGATTGAGTGAACAGATTTACTGCTCATATAGTACTTCCAGCTCTTAAACCATATATGTGTATATTATATATTATATATCACACATATATGCATATATGTGGTATATATATGCATATATGTGATATATATACATATATATGTGATATATATACATATAATATAATGTGATATATATCATATATATGCATATATGTGATATATATATATATATATACATAATCTTAGTAGAATAAAGTAGGGTAGTGTAGTGTAACTCTTAATTTCCCGAATTTGAATAACACTTTTTATTAAAAGGCAATAGTATTACTTCAACTTGCTGTCCAAATAAAGTGTGTTCTGCTTCATGTGACTATGGACCTCTTTTCTCTAATGATTATGATTTCCTAACCTGGCTCATATAAATGAAGATAAATATTTGTGTATTTAAAGAAGTGAGTAGCAGACAAAGCAATAATGAATGACTTCAAATATAACTTTGTGAGACCCCAAAAATACTTCTGTAAGAATATGGAACACCTTAAGTGAGAGTATTTGCATTCAAATTATCTAGAATTTGGGGTGAATATATATTTGAGTTATTTTTATAATTATTTCTTTCCTTTTTAGAAGAATAATGATGAAAATGAAACAAAATTTAACACACATTTCAGAATTCTATCTTCTGAGAGTCTCTGATGATCCAGAACTGCAACCCAATCTCTGTGGGTTGTTCTAGTCCATGCACCTGATATCAGTCCTTGGGAACCTTCTTATCATTCTGGCTGTCCGCTCTGACCCCAACTCCATACCCCTATGTACTCCTTCCTCTCCATTCGTTCCTTGACTAACATTGGCTTCATTTCTACCAAAGGTCTCCGTTTATCTGACTGTAGAACATTGTCTTAATTAGTGATTGTTAGGGGAGAGTCCAGTACATTGCAGATGGTGCCATCCCCGGGCTGGTGGTCCTGAATTCTAAAAGATCTCAGGCTAAGCAATCCATGAGCAGCAAGTTTCTCAGATGCTCCCCTTGAGGACCTCTGCATGAGCTCCTACCCTAAGGTTGCTGCGCTTTTTGAGTTCCTGTCCAACTTTCTTCAGTGATGAACAGTGCAGTGGGAGTGTAAATTAACCCCAAACTTGTTTTTGTCATGGTGTTTCACCAATCAATAGTTATGCTAAGACTATGTCTTTCTTAACAAAACAGATATTAACATTTGAAGCCCACAAAAATAGATGTAGAGAAACTACATAATAGTTTTTATCAAAAATAATGGCCAATTTACTAGTTTTAGAAATATTTATTGTTTCATTAATATATACAAAATTTTCCATATATTAAAACTAAACCAACTGCTCTTACCCCCTTGAAGTGCACAAAATATTATGTATTGATTGATCTAATATTGACATATAACTTGACAATAATAAAGATTAACTACTTTTTATCCTGAACAGGATAATAAAATAATAATAAGCTTGCTAGATTTTTGAATTGATTGGCAAATACAAAAAGGAACAGAAACACTTCTATTCCTAGCCAGCATGATGTGGGATTCCCCTCTGTATCCTGTGAATATGATTGGTTAATAAAGAAAGCTGACTTGAGCCTACGGCAGGGCAGAGCAGAGGTAGGCAGGGAAGTTGGAACTGAACGCTGGGAGAAAGAAGGGTGGAATCAGAGAGAAGCCATGTAGTCCCACTGGGGACAGATGCCGGAACTTTACCCAGTAAGCCACAGCCTCATGGTGATACACAGTTTAATAGAAATAGATTAAATTAATATATGTGAGCTATCCAATAAGAAGCTGGAGCTAATGGACCCAACAGTGATTTAATTAATACAGTTTCTGTGTGATTATTTCGGGGTTAGTCAGCCATGAAAAAACAAGCAACCTCCCCTCCAACATCAGCATACAGCATTAATATGTAAGAAACTCTGGGGACTCTTCCCTCCATCATATGCTTTCCCTGCACCTCTAGTACTGACCCAGACAGGTAAAATATCCACAAACCTTCCATTCCAATATTCAACAAATCCAATCCATTTATATTATAAAACTGGAAATATTTTAAATCTGATTCTAGAAAAACTTTTGACGAGGTGCTTAAGAGTTCCTGCTTAAAATGTAAACGTATTTTCATTAGGGACATTTCCTTACAGAAAAGAGATAAATGTTAACAAAAACACAACATACCAAAACCTATGGGATACAATGAATTCAAAGAAAAGTTTAATTTATCACAAATAATGGGTATTACAAATCTAAATATAATAAATAATTAAATATATTATGCATTGACGTCTTAGAAAAATAAGAAGAAAACAAACCCCAAATAAGTGAACAAAAGCAAATAAGTGAGGTCAAGGAAGAAATTAATGAGACAGAAACAAAAAAATAAACAAAAGAAAGAGTTGTTTCTTGAGAAAAATAAGCAATTTTGTTAATCACTTAGCCATATTAACCAAACGAAAAAAAAGAAAAGACAAAATTAATCAGATTAGATATGTAAAGAGGTACATTACAAAATATGTCAATGAATATAGAAGACCATAAGGTTTCAAAATTTATTCCAATAAATTGAAAATTCTAAAATAAATGGACAAATTTGTAAGTGCATGTGAGCTACCAATTTTCAGCCAATGAAAAATAAAACAAATCCATCATAATCAGATTGAAACATAAAAATATGGACAGGTGCTATAAAAATATTGCAACACAAGCTGAGAAAATCCATAGAATCATTGTGACATATTCTAAAAGGCTACAGTTCAGAGAATTGGAAAATTTCAAAGAAATAATTTTCTCACTAGGTGCCACTTACCAAAGTTAAAATGAGATCAAATAATCTATTTAAAACAAACCTACAGGCTCTTATAAAGTAGAAACAGCAATTTAAACTCACCCAAACAAAAAAGATCAGGGTCAGATGATTTTAGCACAGAATTATACCAGATTTTCAAAGAAGAGTTAAAACCAATATTAAGTTTTTCCACAAAATAGGAACAGAAGTAACATTGAACAATATATTTTATGAGGCCACAGTTACCCTGATACGCAAATCACTTAAGACCCAACAAAGAAAGAGAATTATATCTTTTATTTTTGAAGATTTTATTACATTTTGAAGTTTTTAATTATATCATTTCCTCTTTCTCATTCCTCTCTCCAAACCCTTCCATATAACACTTGGGGAATTATTTTATCTCATTCAAATTAATGGCATCTAACAAATAGGTATTTTAAAACAATATATAAAACCAAAGAAATACATTAAGTTGCAACTAGAGTTTCTCCTGAGTAGTGAAAGAGGGATAAGATATTACTGAACTATTTCTCTTTTCTTCCTTTTTTCACTTCTAATGTTAAGAACCTCTGAGATACCGTGATAATGTGAAGCAATTTATGTAATTATGAACTCTGGGCATTCTATCTCCAGGGTCACAAAAGAGTCAATAATTAACCCCAGCCTGTCAACCTTGCAATTTGAGGACTTGAATATTGTTGAAGAACTGAAGAGAATTCTTCTCTAGTGTCTGACTGAATCAGGGGGACAATTCATTATACATTTTCATCAAGTATAAAAAATAAATCAGAGCCTTCTATGGTCACAAGACAAAGGTGTTACTTTGGATCTTGGTCATGACCCAGCAAAGAACCAGCTTAAACAAGTAAGTGTTGAGTGAGGTGGATGATGAAGAAAGAGCCCTTGGAAGAGGTCTCTCTGAGTCATTGGTTTCTCATCATTAAGAGAAAACTTGGTAAAATAAAAAAAATTTAAAAACCCTGTAAATTTTCTTCTATGATGAGTGGGAAATTTATGCTCTAAGGGGACTAATGTAAATTTTCTTCTATGATGAGTGGGAAATTTATGTTCTATGTTGTTTTAAGGGGACTAACATATAATTCAATTTGATTTATTCCCCATGGATTGTATTAGCACAGATATCTCACACATCAAAAGTAAAAGCGGTCCATTTACTAAGCATTTTTACAATATTATGAATGTGATTTAAAAAGAGGAATGAGAATAACCACAGTATCATGTCTATTTCCCATGGTCATCTGATGACTCCTTTAAAATTGTTGGCTATGAAACCCTGTTGCTATGAAGAAGAGGAAGAACAATGTCTAAAGTCAAGCAGCTGGGGCATTTTGTACTGTTACTGAACGATTTGAGCTCTGAACTCTGACCTGTGCATTTTGTACAACTTATTTCTCTTCATTTACCTAATTACCTCCACCTCATAAATTACCAATTCCTTTCCTGGAAAACAAAAATTGCAGCATTTATATCAGTTGTACACCAAAGTATTAAGATGAAAAATATAGTAAGCCATGCTTGAAGTGTATCATCCTATTGTGGAGATGAAACACTATTTTCAAAAGGGTCCTAGTGGTTACTGGACAGAATTATAATATATGGTTATATGTGTGTGCTGTCATGTCTTGAACTCATGACTGCTAAAACTCATCATATGTTACAGATAGGCTTAGAAACAATATCAAATGGTTAGCTCCTAAACACATACATACAAGAACCATTGTACAAACTGTATAGATTTTACTTATACATTTAGGTGTGTGTATGTGTGTGTGTGTGTGTATGTGTGTGTGCAATAAAAATTAATGAAAACAGAGACCATGAATTTGAAAAAGAGAAAGGAAGGGTAGAAAGGGTATATGGGAGGGTTTGTATGGAGAAAAGTAGAAGGTAAAAGATCCTATTATTATAATCTCAAAACCTAAAGAAAATAAAAGTGTATATTGATCTAAAATATATAGTATTTTTCTGTTTAGCATATAAGATCCATTGCATGTACTTTTGCCTTACAGTCAACACACAGTAATGTGTGTTGATAAATTCTATTTTGTATTATTCTAAGATGGGATAACTAAACAAAAACAATTTGATGGTTAAGAAAAATTAAAATGTTATTTCATCATATCAAGAAATAATCTAACTTTGAATTAATTTAGCTTTGATTATTATATCTACGATGCTTAAAATGCTGTTAGTATCTCTGAGATTGATATATTCACCTGTGACTATTCCTAGTAGATACAACTGCATAGAATAGTAACAGATAAATGGTAAGCTCAATGTGTAACTAATACGTATTTATAAAGCATTGATAAAGAAATACCAATATTTTTAGATATTATGTACAATAATAATGAGGTTAATCTTCATAAAGATTCAAATAAACTGTCTTGTAATGTACAGTTATGATATTCTATTTATGTAGTGAAAATTTTCATTTTGCCCTTTTATATGAGCATTCTACAATAAATTGAAGATAGTAATTATATCTATTTCTTTTCCAATTCCAAAGAGCCTATCCTATGGTTATCACAAAAGATGTTTCAAAAATATGTCAACATTAAATAGACCCTGTCTTGGCTCACAAACATTGGTTACTTCAAAACGCTCAAAATATTTTTCTATATTTTTGCCTCTTTAAAAATGTCTCCATGAGAATAGAAGCAAGATATTTTTTAACCTCATCTCTGAAGGGATTATAACACTCATTTACTTAAAGTTCACAACACAATTTTTAATAGACATAAAAAATTTTACAAGGTAGAAAAAATGTATGCAAATTTTCTAAATTGGTCTAATCCATATTTTACAATATTGTATCAGCCTGAGCACCAATGCTTTCAAAAGTTGTGCTCAACAAAATTTTAATTTATTATTAGTGGGGGCACACTAGCCCTGTTGAATTGAAATTAAGAATAAAGGTTCCTCAAAGCTAACATAAATTTACCATATGATTCAACTATAACACTCTCAAATATTTACCTGAAGTACTCCAAATCAATACATCACAGAGACACAGATCAGCTTTCAATGTAGCACTATTTCCAATTGGCAAATTATGGAATCCACCTAACTATCCAACACAGGAATGGATAAAGAAAATACGGTATGTACATGATGAATTTTTTCAGCCATAACTTTAAAAAATGCATAAAATAGAAGGAAACCAGAGATTATTTTAAGTAAATTAAGTCAGTCTCAGAAAAACATAGTTTTTCAATAAAAAATAGAGTTGTTCAGTTTTACCAGTAATTACACATATTTGTAATTACTTGTATTTGTGACAGTAGGATTTTATAGACATGTTTATAGCAATGTACAGACACATGATATAAAAGCAGAAGTGAAACTGTAAAGAAAAAAGACTAATAAGGTGGGCATTTAAGAGGGTTTCAGGGAATGTGTTCAATGTGCAGTATATGCTAATATAAAATGTCTTAGTTGGCATCAAACTTTGTACAGTGAATATATGCAATGATTTTTTTAAATTGATATTTTCATGCTGATAGAACTCTCAAACTGAAAAACATGTACCAGTGAGATTTTACGACCTTTAAAGGGGGTGAATATTTTGCAGATGGGCAATACTCTTCAGGACAAACACAGAAAGGTAAAAAAGTTCATGTATTATATGTTGACTCCCATATAGTACAAGGAAAAATACATGGGGTTAAGCCACTTACATCCTGAGTCATATCTCTCGTCATGGTCTGTTCTTCTAAAGCAATGAAGAAATATTATTCCTTATGCAAGATGGACTTTCAAGGAAAAATTATTAGTAAATGGATTTTAAGGATACTATCTGTTTCAAGTAAGAAAACGTGACAATTATTGAGATTTTGGAGGAGAGGGTAAAAATGTTTACAATTACTGATAAAACTGAACACATACCAATTTTGGAATCAAACAACTATCATTCATTATATTATATTGAGAACGAGTCTCAAGAATTTTTATTAAAATAAATTATTTTCATACAACATATTCTGATCATAGTTTCTGTCCCCATTTCCTCTCAGATCCTCCAACGTCCCTTAACCATCACACTCCATGCCCTTTCTCTCTCTTTAGAAGGAAAACAAACAGGAAAACAAAACAAAGTCACAATTAAAAAAAAAAGAACATAAAAAACACACACAAACACAACCCCTAAGAGCAGAACACCAGAAACCACAATTGGCAGGCAAAAGACCAATAAGACCAAAAACTGCCCAAACAAAGAAATGAGACTCAAGAATTTTGAAACGAGGCTAAGGAGACAACCTAGTGGATGAGGGTAGGGCTTGGGAACCTGAGCATGAACACCCAGAGCTGATGTCCAACGGTAGGAATGGAAGCAGGTCCCTATCACTGCAGTCCTGGGCTGGAGAGTGGGGACAGGAAAATTTCAGCTACTTGCTATGGAAGCTTTTTCTAAGAGATCAAGTCTATAGAGGTTTACAGACAAAATTTTATCTCTCGCTTAAGATGTTAACAGGAAATCCAGCCCCAAATTCCAAGGATGTTTTTCACTGTAAGGCAAGTGAATGGATCAACTCACAGTTACTAAGATCTCAAATTTGCAATAGATGATTCCAAAGCAATGAAATAGTACTTCTAACATAAACTTACATCATCATGCTGTGTTTGGGGGCAATGAATGCTACTGATAGGAGTAAACAGTTAATATTAATATGTATTTTCTTCGTGTCAGAAATTATCCTAATCAATTTGCATTTCTGGAGTTAAAAAAGGAACATCAAGAACTGTGCCTATTCATTGTCAATTAGAGAGAATTTAAGGAATTCACAATCATCTATATATTTTAAAAATACAGATGAATACATGGATAAATGCTAGTGATAAACAATCATCTCTGCAATTTTAAAAGTCGAAATTTTATTATTCTAAAAGTTCAGCATGCACAAAATCTTGACCATAATCAAACCATAAAGACTCCCAGCACAGAGAAAGGGAAGTAGGCACAAGTTCTCACTCCTAACCATGAAGCCATTTGTAAGTAGTAGTTTCTGGGAGGGATTTTTTTCCAAAATAAAAAGATAAATAGGACGCAAATTTCTTTAGGCAGGTGATTTATTATGCCCACTTAACAGTGAGGGAAGGGGCTGGAAAGATGGTTCGGCAGTTAAGGGTAGTTACGTTTTGCAGAAAACACTGTTTTGGTTTCCACCACCCATATATATACATGCAAGCAAAATGCTCACACATAGAATGGATAAATATAATGATAATTAAAAATAAGAACAATGTACAGAAATGTTTACGTTTTTTTTCCTGTATTTTGCTCATGTGCACTTTCCAAATTGAATCATAATGTGAAACAATGATCCAAAGTTTACCTTGCATAACTTAAATAAGAGAATTCTGGCCCATACAATAGAAACTATCAGTGACAAATATATATATATATATATATATATATATATATACTTATATTATATATATCAGTGACATATATATATATATGTAAAATTGGGTATATGGTTACTGGGAATTAAATGTAGGGAGGCCTTAGGAACTCAAATTCTTTGTTGTAAATAAGAAAGATTATGAGCAGAAAAAGCAATGTAGCAATATTAACAGATTAAAGATGCCAAGATCAAAGAGGGGAAATTTCATTTCCTTTACATTTTAAGATAATAATTACATAATTTCCCTTTCCTTTTCTTCCCCCAAAACTCTCCCATATACCCCTCCTTATTCTTTTTCAAGTTCATGCCATCTTTTTATTAATTGTGGAGATATATTCATCTAGAATTCTAATTTTCACATTTAGATCTTCCATCCACTTGGAGTTGATTGTTGTAGAAGGTGAGAGATACTGGTCTAATTTCATTCTGCTGCATGTACATATACAGTGTTCCCAGCACCATGTGTTTTATTATTGACTTTTATTGAGCTCAACATTTCTCTCTGCTCCCCTCTTTGCCTTTCCCCTTCCCCCTTCAACACTCCCCCATGGTCCTCATGCTCCCAATTTACTCAGGAGATCTTATCTTTTTCTACTTCCCATGTAGATTAGATCTATGTAAGTCTCTATTAGGGTCCTCATTATTGTCTAAGTTCTCTGGGATTGTGGTTTGTAGACTGGTTTTCTTTACTTTACGTCTATATTTCCATTTTCTAGAGTATATCTCATTTTCAGAAGCTAAAGTTTCTGTTTTAGACATTCTTCTTGGTCATGCTTCTTCCTTTATCCTGTATTTACTTTAAGGCCATTGTAAATGGAAGGGTGTCCATTTTTCCATATGTTTGTTGGTGGTGTATAAAATAGCTATTGATATATGGAAGTCTGCTCTATATTCTGTCACATTGCTGATTTTTTTTATTTCTAGACGTTCTCTGTTAGAAGTTTGGATATTTCTAACATATAACATCATATTTTGTGAAAATATGGATAGACTGAATTATTTTTTATTTATGTTTCTTCAGTGTCCTTTTACATCAGCCAGAATTTCAAATATAAGAAGTGGGGATAGTTGATAGTCCTTTCTCCTCCATGACTTCAATGGGATTCCTTCATATTTTCATATATTTAGGATGATATTGACTGCATGCTTCTCATATAAAATTTATTAAGATGTTGGAGTATGTTCTAAACTAGACACTCTAGGACTTTTCTATAAATGCATGTTGGAATTTGTCACAGGTTTTGTTCTGCATCTTTTGAGATGATTGTGTGATTTTGTTTTTAACTACATTTTTGTGGTTTATTGCACACATATAGTGAAAATTCCTTAATCTTCTGAATAAAGCTGAATAGATCATGGTGAATATTATTTTTTGATGTATGTCTGTATTCTGATTGCAAGTAGTTTGTTTAACATGTTTTAGCCTGTATTCACCAGCAATGTTGGTCTGTAGTTTTCACTTTTGGTGTGAACCTTGAGTTGGCTTATATAATGATGATGGATTCATAGGAGTTAAGAAATGTTTCTCATTTTTATGATTTTTTTAAAAAATAATTTATGAAGTTTCTCTCTATCTTCTGTAAAGGTCTGGAAGAATATCACTGTAAATCCTTCTAGCTCTGAACATTTTATGTTGGAAATCTTTTATTACACTTTCAGCTACCTCATTTACTATTCATACGTTTTGTTTGTTGAATTCTGGGTTTAATTTTGGTGGTTTGAATAATCTATAAATCCATTCATTTCTTTTAGGTTTTCCTACTTAAGGTAGTATAGGATTTTCAAATATTCCCTTATAACAATTTCTTTGTCTGTCTAAAAGGACAATGTTAAGTTAATGACAAAGTTAAAGTAATTGTCATATTTTAGTTATGTCTTAAGAAAAAAATAAGATATAGTTATTTTGCTGTAATAAAATGATTATTTAAATTGAAAGGATATTATTTTTTTTCTCTGTGTCATCCAAAAGGATAGTTGTATTCTAACATGACCTAAAGTTGTGATTTCTAATGTCTTTGGCTTTAAAACTCTTTTAAGCTTACTTCCTCAAGAATACATTTGTATGAAAGAATATGTGTAACTTAGAAACCCACATAGAAAGTTGCAGGTTCTTGGGCTTGTCATGATGCTATGCATGATGAACTTCAAATTAGAATATTTTACTTGTAAGAACTTGAACTTAAAATATAGGGATTTCCCCTTTTAAATTGTTTCTACTATTTTGGAGATTATAATGTAATCATGCATTATTTTATGCATTTTTCCAATTAATTTTGTTTACCCAAAGGTGTCCCAACAATACAGTTGTCTCACAGTTCCATCTCATGAGCCTCTCAGAGGATCCAGAGCTGCAGCCTATCCTCTTTGGATTGTTCTTATCCATGTACATGGTCACAGTGCTTGGGAACCTGCTCATCATCCTGGCTGTCACCTCAGACTCCCACCTCCACAGCCCCATGTATTTCTTTCTCTCCAACCTCTCCTGGTCTGACATCTGTTTCATCTCCACCACAGTTCCAAAGATGATTTGGGATATTCAGACTCAAAGCAGAGACATCTCCTATGTGGGCTGCCTAACACAGATGTCTATGTTCATAATTTTTGGGTGTATGGATAGTATGCTTCTGACTGCAATGGCCTATGACAGGTTTGTGGCCATCTGTCACCCCCTGCATTACACAGTCATTATGAACCCTCACCTCTGTGCATTCTTAGTTTTGATATCTGTTTTGGTAAGTCTTTTAGACTCTCAGGTGCATAATTTGGTTGTGCAACAATTTACATACTTCAAGGATATGAAAATCTCTAACTTTTTTTGTGATCCTTCACAACTTTTAAATCTTGACTGTTCTGAAATGTTCACCAAAATCATAGTCACTCAATTTATTGGTGCCTTTTTTGGTTTATTTTCAACCTCAGGGATCTTTTTATCCTACTATAAAATTATTTCTTCCATCCAGAGAGTTCCATCAACAAGTGGAAAATATAAAGCCTTCTCCACCTGTGGGTCTCACCTTTCAGTTGTTTGTTTATTTTATGGCACATCCATTGGAGTATATGTTGGTTCAACTGTATCAAACTCTCCGAAAAACTGTGCAGTGGCTTCACTGATGTACACAGTGGTCACACCTATGCTGAATCCTTTCATCTACAGCCTGAGAAACAGGGACATTAAAAGTGCCCTCTGGAGGTTGCTGCAAAGAACAATATGATCGTACAACCCCTTCCATCACTTCTGGAGTTTGAGCTGTTAGCCCAACTATTTACACCTAAAAACACAAGCTATTTGATGTTACTACTTTCATCCCACTCCATTAATACCTAAATGGATATTCCTTCAGTTTCTCTTTAATTTAATTGAGCAAGGATACCTAGATCTTGTCGTTTCTTAAACATAAATAAATTAATATATTCAAGAAAACTCATAATTTCTTTTTTAGCATTTATTTATTTTCAGGTTTTATTATTATTATTATTAAAAATTTTCACCTCCTCCGTTCTTCCCATTTCCCTTCCCCTTCCTCCATCCCCCCTCCCCCTCCCTCTCCAGTCCAAAGAGCAGTCAGGGTTCCCTGCCCTGTGGGAAGTTCAAGGTCCCCCCTACCCCACATCTAGTTCTAAGAAGGTGAGCATCCAAACAGACTAGGTTCTCTCAATACCAGTCCATGCAGTAGAATCAAAACCTAGTGCCATTGTCCTTGGGTTCTCAGTCAGCCCTCAATGTCAGCCACTTTCAGAGTATCCAGTTTGATCACATGCTCCATCAGTCCCAGTCCAGCTGGCCTTGGTGAACTCCCATTAGATCAGTCCCACCGTCTCAGTGGGTGGACACACCCCTCGTGGTCCTGACTTCCTTGCTCATGTTCTCCCTCCTTCTGCTCCTCATTTGGACCTTGGGAGCTCAGTCCAGTGCTCCAATGTGGGTCTCTGTCTCTATCTCCATCCATCGCCAGATGAATATCTTAGTGAAGACCCTGGCTTTAAAGTTAAATAGTTAAGTTCCTTTCTAGTCTCACAACTTATACCCCTTTTCACAATCAATGTATACTTTGATATAGATATAGATATGGACTATATAGCATTTTAAAATATTTATAATTTAAGAAATAATGTTCTACTTCATTATAGATCATATAAATGCCAAGCAAATCTAAATTGATAATCCTTCTCATCACAGTCAAAATGGCAGTGATTAAGAAAGCAAGTAACAGTAAATAATAGAAAGGATATGAACAAAGAAGAACATTTCTATGTCACAAATAGGAATATAAACTTCTCCAGAAAGTATTTAAGTCATATGGAAATTACTCAAGACAATTAAATGCTGATTTCTTTACGACCCGCAGTTCTACTACTCCTGGGCATTGATGCAGAACTGTCCAACTCAATAAATCACAGAAATAATTTCCAGTCAAAGTTTATTGCAACTTTACTCACAATATCTAAGTTTTAGAGGTCCCTGCATTGCCAAAAATAGAGGAAGGAGTAGAAATGATATGAGGATTTTTATACACAACAGAAAGATTTTCAATCATGTTTAACAAAATTCATTTCATTTGCAGAAAGTGAATTCATTTAGAGATATTAAATAAATAATAGTTTCAAAAAGACAAAAGGTTTCCTCTAATTCATTGTTCCTATATTTTATATAAATACATAGAATCGTATATGTATGTATGTATGTATGTATGTATGTATGTATGTATGTATGACATGAAGTACAAACAAATGTCTCTGAGGGAACAATGAAGACTAATAGGACAGGCCAGGGAGAAAGTTGATGTATAATGCATAATGGAAACAAACTCATCACATAATGTATACTTGAATGAAAGTTTAAAATAAATTAATTTTGGAAATATTGCTGATAGCATCTCATATTCAAAGATTTATTTAAATGGATCTTTATGCTTATGAAAACTTTGGAAAACTTGTGATTCTCCTGCTTTTGACTCTTCAACATATCCTACCTATAAGCACCACCAAAACCATTATTTCCAATTATTTCTGTACTTCTCAAATGATACAGTAAAATTGGCCATTTCCACGCTATCCATCATTTATTTACTGCCTCCAGTCTTCCCCAAATGGTCCCACAAACATCAACATACCAAGTTCATGCCCTTATCTTTTTGTTTAAATAGTTCTCAGTCCAATTAGTGCTGCTACATACTTTAGACAAAAGTCCATCCACGAGAAGAGGGGCAATCCTCCAGAAGCCAAATCCCCAAAGACAGTTTCTCCTGCTCTGGGCAGCTAAGAACTGCCAATAGCTTCACAGTTAGTGGTGTGTATTTGTGAACACCTCCAGCACACATGGTGGAATTTTGACTGCCTAGTAGCATTCTGTGGGTCTTGGGCACATAACAACAGCTGCTCTGAGTTCATGGATCTTGTATATATGTCCTGCCATACCAGAAGACAACATTTCATGGCAATTTTCTCATCCTACCACTCTCTCATTTTTTCTGCACCCTCTTCTGCAACTCTCTCAGCTTTGGAAGGGGGGTGCCATTATTAAAAATATCCCAATTAGGGCTGAACACTTATGGTCACGTATTTCAACGTTTTCACCAGTTAGATGCCTCTGAATTGATAGATGCCCACTTTAAAAATATGTTTCTCTGATCAAGGTTGAGAGGAGTCCAAGCTTATGGATATGAAAAGAAAAATCAGAGTCTAATAAGTAGGTTCCATCTGAGATGCCGTGACTTCCCAAATCATTAACTTCTGACAAGTTTTATAGTATTTTACATGCAATCCAAGTTGTTAAAGAGGCCTAAAATCCTGTCAGAAAGCAATTAGTCTCCTCATAAGAGTCAGGTAACTCATACACTAGTGGACACATCATCCTTGCTGGTTGGTATTATAGCATGAAGTGTCCAGCACTGGGCAAAATCACTAATATCTTTTCTCCCCAGAAACCTGAATAGCAGCTTTGGGGCACTTTGAAGACTACTCAGCGATGAGGAAGGTTCCAAGGTGGTTTGAAATTGATTTCTCTATTTTTTTAAGCTAAAGTGTGTGGTGTCTTCAGCAATAACATCCTACCTTTTAGTTGTGCTGGGTAACTAAGAGGAGTAGGAAAAGTCTTGTTTTGTGGACCTGTGGGAATTGCCTGATTCATATAGAGGTTTCTCCCACCTGGTTCTGCAATTTTTATTTAACATTCCATAACTTCTGCGAGCAGTATTTTATATCTACATAGTGTATCTCTGTTTTTAATTTTCTGTAAGTACTTTGAAACTAATTTATTAACCAATGTTTCCATGGGCAATTTCATAAATCCTCAGTCTTTATTATCCCATCCCCTACACACTACCTCTCAATTCCCTCATCCTTCTTCCATGCTTACACTTGTAGACATCAATATACCTCTGGCTTAGTTATAGCTCATGTTTCTTGCTGTAGCCATCAATAACAATTTTATTATTATTGGATTATAAGATAATAAATTTTCATATAGATTTTATTGCACCCGTCTTTGAGTTCATATTGCCCTACCTACTGACTTCTCAATGCTCTCCATGACCCTTTCTGTATATGCTATTTCTTATCTAATGTGCCTTTTTTAACTTTTGTCTTACCTACCGTTTACTGACCAGAATCCTATAATGCATTCCTTAACAAATGGCCCAGTTTTACTTTCCTTGATTCCACTTATGCTCCACATAAAACAGACTAAATCAAATGATTAGAAGCTAATATCTTCATATGAGAGAGAACATGCTTTATTTGTATTTCTGGGCCCTAGTTGCTCAAGTCATATTTTTGCCAGTTCAATTCATTTATCTATAATTTTTATTACATTTTTTATAACTGCTTACTATTCCATTCTGTATATATACCACATTATAATCCATCTACAGGCGGGCTTCTAAGTCCGTTCCATGTCCTAGCCATTGTGAGTAAAGGAGCATTGAACATGGTTATTTAACTATCTTTGTAGTAGGATAAAGTACATAAAGTGTGTGCTCAGGAGTTTTAGAGCTAGGTCATGTACTACTTCTCTTTCTGCTTTTGTTTCAGAAAACTCTAGGCCAATTTCCAAAATGATAATAGCAGTTTACACTTCACCAACAGTAAATAAGGGTTCTCTTATAGACACCTACACAAGAACAATTATTATTCATATTCCCAAGAAAGATAATTCTGATGGGGGTGTGGTGAAATCTTAAAATATTAATCTGCATTTTACTGGTGATAAACACTTTTGACTGCTCACTAAACATTTGCATTTCTGCCTGAAAAGTTCCCTGGTCCCACCCAATGCAGCCCCACTAGCCTCCACCCCTCATTGGACCCTGTAATCTACAAATTCCACTCCATCCCCCAAACCCAACCATCCCCTCTAACTTCAGTGGCTCCCTGAGACTCGGATTCCAACCTATACCAATTGGACACAGTTGGATAGCATATTCTCTAGGCCCAAGACCCAGGGCTCATCCCATATACTGACTCACACATTGAAGCCCCATTAGCCAGTCAGCAGACAAGTCTTCTGTGAGAAGACGTCTACTCTGCCATCTCCAAATGGACCCTGTAATTTACAAACCCCACTCTACCTCCAAACCCAAGCATTTATAACAGCATTAGTTGCCCCAGAGCACAGACATTGCCTGCACCAACTGAAAGAAGAGGAACCCCAGCAGCACAGATACCACAAGTTTTTGTGGTTTAGTTTACAAGTTTTTGGCAAGATCCCAAATAAATTTCTAATCCCTTATCAAAAAGAGGAAATAACAAGGCTACAGAGGGTCCAAGATGGATGGACATTGTTCATCGCAACCACTGGAGCCATTTTTGATAACCATTTTCTGATTCCAGTTTAATTTCATTTTTTAACAATCAGCCAGTTATCTTTCCAAGAATTATTAAAACCTTCCCCCTTAAGGGAGTGTGCTCAGTGTTTACTGATGGTTCTTCCAAGGGCTTTGCAGTTGTGGTCTCTGATTCAATTAAAGAAAAGCAACCCCTAGGTCCAATTTCTGCCCAAGCTGCAGAACACACAGCCTGCCTTATGGCCTTTTCTCTTTTCAAGGATCAACCATTCAATTTGTATACTGATACTATATGTGGCAAGGCTTGTTGGGCCATTGGAAACCTCGCCAAACATATTACCTACCTCTCAGGTTTTCCACCTTTTGGTTCAGCTGCAAAGTCTTATATGCCAAAGAGAGTTTCCTACCTTTATTGGCCACATTTGGGCCTATACTGATCTGCCAGGGCCTTTGGCAGAGGGAAATAAGCTTGCACATTCCTTTACCCACCCAATGGAATTGTTCCTTTCTGAGGAACAACGAGCCC